AGTAACTGGACTTAGTGAATAACAACAGTAACTGGACTTAGTGAATAACAACAGTAACTGGACTTAGTAATAACAACAGTAACTGGACTTAGTGAATAACAAACAGTAACTGGACTTAGTGAATAACAAACAGTAACTGGACTTAGTGAATAACAACAGTAACTGGACTTAGTGAATAACAACAGTAACTGGACTTAGTGAATAACAACAGTAACTGGACTTAGTAAATAACAAACAGTAACTGGACTTAGTGAATAACAAACAGTAACTGGACTTAGTAATAACAAACAGTAACTGGACTTAGTAATACTAACAGTAACTGGACTTAGTGAATAACAAAGTAACTGGACTTAGTAAAAATAACAAACATTTAACGGACTTAGTAAATAACAAACAGTAACTGGACTTAGTAAATAACAAACATTAACTGGACTTAGTGAATAACTAACAGTAACTGGACTTAGTGAATAACAAACAGTAACTGGACTTAGTAAATAACAAACAGTAACTGGACTTAGTGAATAACAAACAGTAACTGGACTTAGTGAATAACAAACAGTAACTGGACTTAGTGAATAACTAACAGTAACTGGACTTAGTAAATAACAAACAGTAACTGGACTTAGTAAAATCGACAGCAAAAAACTCTGTTTACTGAAATGCCACGTAAATCCAGTGCGCAACAGCGCATTGCGCAACACTATACTCGCTGTCCTCCACGATAACGTCCACCTTTCCAGGTTTTTGGTTTGCGTTGAGGAACACCAACGCATCGACATGTGAGGGAAGGAGGCTTGACCGCTTTCGGGTGACAGTGTTGCCTGCCAGGGAAAAAACCCTCTCACTCGGGGTGCCTGTGGCTGGAATAGCCAGGTAGCTCCTCGAAAGCTTGGCTAAACGGGGGACGCGGTGCGCGTTTTCTGCCCACCACTCCAGTGGGTTATCCATTGTGGGGATATGCGGTGTCCGCTGGCAGTCATCCCGTAGCTCATCATCCGCATCACTGTAGACCCGTTTTTTCTTGCTGCTCGTCTGCCTCTGTCCTGTGCTGACGCCGGTCCGTTGCTCACTGGTGCTAGCATTACTGCTAGTGCTAGCTGTCGGCAGCGGGTGTCTCATCTTCAGATGGTTGCGCATAGCAGATGTATTTTTGTTGTACTTCAGTACAGCTGTACACAACTGACACTTCACTGTGGAGTTGGTTACATCTTTGTTGAAGTACTGCCATACATAAGAATGTCGGACGTGTTTTGAAGCATTTTGCAGCACCTCGTTTACCTCCATTTTTTCACGACTAGTCGACTAGGGCCTACAGCGCCGACTAGTGGTAAAGGTAGTCGACTAGTCGATTAGTTGGTGAAACCCCTAGACCAGTAATCCTACAAGCTGTCATCACTACCCTCCTGACTGTTCTCCTCACTGTCTTCCTCTCTGTCAGACATGGTAGCTGATGATGTAGGTCTACTTCTTTCTCTCTGGTTGAGTCTGTGATTAGCTGCTGGTTTTGGGTCGAAAGTCTCTGTTGTCATCTTAGACAAGTGGATGTAATCAAATAAGTATGTGAACATAACCAATAACCTACCATAGCCAATAACAAATGAATGTAACTTATTTTATTTGTGTTGTTCATTCATATCTTATTTAAATGCATTTTTTTTTTTTATCTCCAGTTTTAAAGGATATTTTTGGTTACTGTCCTATAGTATGCATTGGAATTATTTCAAACCTGTTTATCCCAATAATTATAAAGGAGTGCCTTGAAAATATGTGTTTACATAAATTGTGACCAAACTGTTTGAACTTAGACTAAAGTGAACTATCTAAACACTCAGAGTCCTTTACCTCACTGAGCTGTAGTTATCAGCCTCTCAGTCTGACTGGAGAGGACTCTCCCTCCACATTAGGGCTGCACGATATTGAAAAAAACTGACATCACGATTTTCCCCCCCCCCCCCCTGCGGTATATATCGCAGTTTTTTAACCTGTTAAGCCCCAAAGTCCCGGCGGGTACTTTACTTTTTTTTTTCACGACACTGTGTCTCAGGGGATCTTAATATTTAATAACCTATTAATGTGTTATACCAGATTAACGGGAATAATCTCAGCTAACTGACGATACAAACAATTTTTACCAAAACAAAACACAAGTCTCATAAGAAGCATCTAAATGACTCCTGAGCGAAAAATGCTAACGCACTTTGGCACATAACTCAAGATAAAAGTACCGTTATTGCTTATCGTAGCTGCACATACAAGATATCCGATTAAAGCTGAGGTTCCACAGATTATTTAGGTATATAGTATCATCACTGAGTGATCCGAACTCGGACAGGGGAAGCAAACACAGACATCACAACACGTACCTTTACGTAGCTTCTAGGGGAGATGTCTCACCGTAGCTGTCAATCTGATCAAAAGACGTGTTCAATGGCATTAAAACGAGAAAAAAAGTGGCTTAATCGGTTAATCCATAGGTTTTTAACGTCTCTGTATAACAACATTATTTTATTTATAATCCATAATTCCATTTTTATGTAAAAATCGCAAAACAAACTTCTGCTTCCGGTCTTGGCAATGCGGCAATCCAGCGCAGTCTAACACACACACATTACCAAATAAGGAGTGAGAGTGACGCGTAGCCAAAACCGGAAGCTGTATATGGTGGCTACCATTAGCAGCTACCATTAGCAGATAACTTTTGTGCTCCGATTTTTACATAAAAATGGAATTATGGATTATAAACAATAGCTTGGTTTCACTTGACGTCACACCGCTGCGTTCCTTTGGCGCGAAATTCCATTGGAGGTCAGGAAGTAATTTTCTACAGAGGCTCTAGCTGCTGTTACCATTGTGAAAATGCCGGTGTGTTGTGTAGTTTACGGTTGTTCCAATCGATCCGGCCGAGATAAAAACAAGAGGTTTTACCGAGTTCCGAAGGTTGTCGTCCATAAAGCTGAGCAATTTAAGAAGCTAACCGAAGAACGCTGGAAAAAATGACTTTCAAACCTACATCTGCGGTCGGGAGGAGCAGAGTCGTCTAATGCACGTGTCTGCAGCGACCACTTCATCAGAGGTATTAGCTAACTTGGTTTTTGTGGCTTTGTTTATGTATTATTGGGTTGTGGTTAAATGCTTATTTACCTAGTAATACTGATCATGTTTAAGTTACCTGTAGTCTAATATGGACTTTGTTGGGACTTTTTAGGGTGCCCTAGCGCTTTGGGTGACGTTGAGTCGGTAGACTGAGCTCCCACTGTTAGCCTCGGTTACCGCACAACAAGTAAGCCCAGATCAGAGGCATCTCTTTGACGAGAGCAGAGGATGGAGCTCAAGGAAGACCAACAAAGACAATGTTGGATCTCCTGCAGACAACCGAGAGCCCAGAACCGACGCAGCCCCCGTCTGACGCCCACAACCAGAGGACACCAGTGGGATATTAAATGACCAACAAGGTAAATTAACCACCAGCATTATTATTAAATATTACAAATGTGATTGTCAGAAAATCAATGCAAACTTTGAATTAGGTTTAGGTTTAGAAAATAGAGTTCTAACTTGAGAATCTGCAATAATTGGAACAGAGAACTTGCATGTCTGTAAAAAGGTTGTCAAAAAGATAACTTCACAACAATTCACATTCACATTTGACTATTTTAAATAACTAATTATGCTTGCTACTGCTATATTTTATGCAGATGCAGGATGCCAGACTGATTTAATGATGGAGGACATCGAGAGGATGGAGGATGTTCTGAGACAGAACACAACAGAGCTGGGAGATCTTCGGACAAAGGCACTGGACACAAAGTTCAACCAGGAGTCCTTTGAGAACAACGAAGAGAAAACAAAGTTTTACACCGGGCTCCCCAACTTCTTAGTTTTACTTCAGGTTTTTCAACTGTGCGAGCCCTACATCACCTGTGGCCCTATGTCTGTGCTCTCCAAATTTGAACAGTTCATTTTAGTTTTGCTGAGGCTGAGACTAAATCTCCCTCTGAAAGATTTGGCTTTCAGGTTCAACTCTCTCTCCACTGCTTCTAGAATTTGGCATAAGTTAATTGACATACTTCACGAGAGTACAGAATTTATAATTGAGTGGCCAGAGCGACATGTACTTCAAGCTACAATGCCAATGGGATTCAGACAGGCATTTGGATGTAGAGTTGCTGTGATTGTTGACTGTTTTGAAGTTTTTATTGAGAGGCCCTCTAATTTACTAGCTAGAGCACAAACATGGTCCAACTACAAGCACCACCATACTGTTACATTTCTGATTGGTGTTGCTCCCCAAGGCTATGTCACTTACATATCTTGTGCCTGGGGAGGAAGAGTTAGTGATAAACAGATCACAATACAGAGTGGGCTCCTAAAAAACCTGTTACCTGGAGATATTGTCCTAGCAGACGTAGATAGTTCGATATTGGCGATAGTGTGGCATTTTACTGTGCTTCACTGAAGATGCCTGCATTCACCAGGGGGAAAAGTCAGCTGTCAGCATACGAGGTGGAAGAGACAAGAAAAATAGCTAATGTGCGTATTCATGTCGAAAGAGTCATAGGATTAGTCAGAAGAAAATATCAGATTCTGCAAAGCAGGGCTGTGCCCATAGAGCACATGCTAACAAAACCAGATGAAGCACTAGCATTAATCAACAAGATTGGGGTTATTTGCTGTGCCTTGTCTAATCTGTCAGTGTCTGTCGTCCCATTGGAGTAAAGTCATGGAGCTGTAGTCTTGTAAATAAGAAACCATGTATTATTCAGTATCATTTAATATTTTCAGTAAACATCTGTTTGTGTTCAAACATCTTGTGTTCAAGTCTGTTCAGTAAACATCTTTTTTTGTGTTGTAAATTGTGTAGCCCTACTCAATATACAACTTTCATCTACATTCAGGCTTAATTCATTCAACAATATTCTAGAGATGACAATTGGTCTGGTGACGTTCCCATGTATGGCCATTGAGGGTTATTGTAAATGTAAATAAGAAACCATGTATTATTCAGTCTTCTTAGTATCATTTAATCTTTTCAGTAAACATCTTTTTTTACAATAGTGTAACAGGCCCCGCTATGCAGGGCGCGATGACAGATAGTATTTCCTGTAAAACACGAGAAATTATGAGCAGAGAATTCCTTTTACTGCTCGTTTGGGGGATCTTGCCAGAATGTATTAACAATTGGCACAAAACACAATTGTCCTTGCCCTTTACTGCTCTCAATATAAACACATGTTCATGTCTTCAAAATATACTTGTATGCTTGAAGTATTCAAAAATAAACACATTTGTGTATAACCAAGTGTCATTAACATCATGACTCCAAATAAGCATGTACTGCTTCAAAACAGATATTGGTGCTGTATTCAAACACTGTTAATTACCTTTTCAGGCAAAGTATTAGCATTGGTCTAATATATGCTAGCATTAGCATCAAGCAACACGCATTTATAATAATTAAATTATGACTGACCATAGCACCCATAGACCATACAAAACACACCTAAAACACTTCGTAGCTATAAACAATTCACTTGCATCACTAGCGACCACCATTACACATACACACACAGCCACCACGAGGTGGTCTTCTACACGGCATTAAACATAATAAACAACATCTAAACACCACTTCAAACTTAAGACATTGTGATTTATAACATTTGTGACAATCTGTACACATTACTGACCTGTAAAACACGAGAAATTATGAGCAGAGAATTCCTTTTACTGCTCGTTTGGCGGATCTTGCCAGAATGGCAAGCTAACGACAGCTCCGTCATCACGTCAGACATTTTACGGTAGACGCGTAAATAATAACAAATCCCTATACGGCAGTGTTACTCTGCCATCTACTGCCCCCTGCTGTCCATTGTTAAACAGGTAATATAAAATGATATTAAATATAAACATAAAATTGTGATCACACACTTTGTGTGGGTCACACACTCCCCGACAAAGAAAAATGGCTCCCGACATTAACCATCAACCTCTTAACTTGTGCCCCTTCTCTTTGAACTTAAAACACTTATACATACTCTCATAAGGGCACTTCTTTAAATGTACAGGTGAATACTGTACAATATGGATGAGAGTGGGTGTAACAATCTTTCCTTCTCAATATGCATGTATGTATGGTAGAATTACAGTGTAAGGCAGTGTCTGGTGTGTAGTGTAAGGCAGTGTCTGGTGTGTAGTGTAATGTGGCATAGGAACAGGCTGCATTCCCCAGAATGGCATGGCTTGTACAGTATAGAGTCTTGCTGGGTCTGAAGACCCACATGATCTGGAGGATGGCTGCCCAAGGGAGTCATATGTCAGCGTTTGAGGAGGTCTCCTGTCCCGTGTGGATTTCCTCACTGGCTCATCCTGAGGTGTCACAGGTCGGTCATAGCCATAGGGTACTTGTACTCATGCTCTTCCGGTGCTTCAGAATCCACAGGCAGGTCTTCCTCATCAGTCCGTTCTTCTGGTTGTTCTTGTCTGGTTTCTCTCTCAGGTGTAACAACTCCATGTTGTTCTGGTGTATGATATCTCGATGGCACTCTATATCTATGTGGTTCAGGTACCCTTTTCGGACCATCTGTGTTTCGCTGAGATCCAGAGCTAGGTTCAACATTCTGTGAGTGAAGTCCAGCTTGTGGAGGTACTCTTAGCCAGTATCGTACTCTAGGTGCCTCATCATCAGAGTTTTCTGAGTCACTGCTTTGTGATGTCTCTCTCTGTCGTGGTTTCTCAACATGATGACTCTTGCTTTTCCCTCTAGGTGGTAGCGGATTTCCTGTTAGTTCAGGCAAGTTTACAGGTAGGTCATTGACAACGTGTAGGAGATTTCGATGGAGGGTACGGATCTTATCACCACCTGTCTCAGGGCACACTTTGTACACAGGAATTTCACCAACTTGTTCTTTGACGACATACACAGTTTGTTCCCAGTAGGACCTCAATTTTCCAGGTCCACCTCTCTCACTCATGTTACGGACTAGGACTCTATCACCAGGTTGGAGCACAACTCCCTTGATGTGACAGTCATAGTACTTCTTGTTTCTTGCACTGGAGTGTTGACTGTTTTCAGATGCAATCCGGTAAGCCTCTTTCATTCTCAGAGACCATTTCTTAGCATAGCCCTGTGTTGTTTCAGTCTGACCTTTGGCTGACAGGCCAAACATTAAATCTACTGGGAGACACGGGTGCCGTCCAAACATGAGGTAGTGGGGTGAGAAGCCTGTTGCCTCATGCCTGGTGCAGTTGTATGCATGTACAACCAGGGATAAGTGTTCTTTCCAGTTGCTCTTTTCTTTTTCTCCCAGGGTCCTCAACATTTGGAGCAGTGTTCTATTGAACCTCTCAGCTGGGTTTCCTTGGGGGTGGTATGGGGTTGTCCTTGAATGAGCAACTCCAGCCAGATGCCTCAGGGTCTTGAACAGGTCATTTTCGAACTCTCTGCCTTGGTCGTGGTGTAGCCTGGCCGGGTAGCCGAATCTTGGAATAAAGTCATTATAGATTTTTTCAGCAGCTGTTCTGCCAGATTTATTTTTTGTTGCGTAGACTTGAGCAAATCTGGTAAAATGGTCAATAACTACTAAAATGTACTCGTAGCCCCCTTTGCTAGTTTCCAGGTGCATATAGTCTATAGACACAAGCTCAAGTGGTGCAGATGAAGTGATGCTGCCCATTGGTGCTCTGACGTGTGTCACAGGTTTCTTTTGTTCTATACAGGGACACTTTCTGGTTACATAGGTTTCAATGTCCTTTTTCATGAAAGGCCAGTAGAAACGGTCTCGAGCCAGGTGGATGACCCTCTCAGCCCCAACATGTCCCATGTCGTCATGGAGATGCTTTAGTACCAGGGGGTGGTATCGTGATGGTAAGACGAGCTGCTGCCGCTGACTGGCCGTCCGGTACAACAGTTGATTTTCCATGTGCAGTTTTCCCCACTCGTGCATGAGCTTTCTGAGTGTACCACTGGCTCTCTTCTTGTCCTCATTGGTCAATACTGCCTTGGCCTCTTTAAGTTTGATAAGCTCACCGATTGCATGGTCCTCCCTTTGGGCATTGACTAGCTCACTGTGGTCAATGGTAAGGGGTGACACATTCACAGGTGACTGAGCATGAAGCCAGGTCCAATGCAGCAACATAAGCAACATCCTGCCTCTTTGCAGACTCACAACTATCCCATGTGGTTTGGATGATTTCTCTTGTGAGTTCCTCAATACACTCTCTAACGTAGGTGTCAATGTCAAGAGGGAGACGAGAGAGCGTGTCTGCGTCTATGTTCACTCTTCCTGGCCTGTATTTGACATCAAACCTAAAGTCTGCTAGCTCACCTACCCATCGGTGGCCCACAGCATTCAGCTTGGCAGTACTCATCATGTATGTGAGGGGATTATTGTCTGTGTATACTGTGAAATGGGGTGCATAGAACAGGTAATCCCTAAATTTCACACATATCGCCCACTTAAGAGCAAGAAACTCCAGTTTCCCTGAGTGCATGTTGTAATTCTTCTCAGCGGGAGACAGAGTTCTTGAACCATAGGCGATGACTCTCATTTTTCCATCCTGTCGTTGATACAACACAGCGCCGAGTCCCTGCTGAGAGGCGTCAGTGTGGAGCACAAATGGCAGTTTGAAATCCGGATAGGCCAACACAGGTGGGTGTGAAAGCGTGTCAATCAGCTGTTCAAGAATCCGTTGGTGATCATCAGTCCACGGGACAGGTGTCCTTGAGGGCATCTGAGCTCCTTTTCCCACCTTATGTTTCCCCTGTGTCACGGTAGAGTTTCCTTTAATTTTTAACAGATCATAAACTGGTTTTGCAATGCTTGAGAAGTTTTGAATATAGGCTCTATAGTAGCTTAGGAAACCCAGTAACTTCCGCACTTCTCCAACTGTGCTTGGCCTCTTCTCTTTCAGAGACATAATGGCATCAATGTCTTTTGGGTCAATCCTGACACCGTCTGCAGAGACCAGCCTCCCAACATACCTGACCTCTTTCTGGAACAGCTCACACTTTGTTGGTCGAAGCTTGACACCATGGGACTGCAAGGCTCTCAGGACTTGACGTACTCCCTCAACATGGCTAGTGAAGGAGTCGGAGTAGCAGAGGATGTCATCGAGGTAAGGGATACAGCAGTTGTCATGCAGAGAGTCCAACATTTCCTCCATGCTGCGCTGAAAAGCAGCAGGGGCGTTGGAGAGTCCAAAAGGTATCCTCACCCACTCATACAGCCCCCAATAGGCCATAAGGTGAACCCTGTTATCGTTTCAACCCGCTCCACAGAAGTGAAACTACACAATCTTTAGTTCATAAAAAAGAACGAGTCATGCTTATCCACCAAAAAAAATATCGTCGCTAAAATTCCTGCCAATTCTTCTAGGCACGTAATTATTGGCTGAACTAGTCCCTTCGAAGCGTAATAATATCTTGGTCCAAAGTCGTGCCACGGTTCGTCACGTGATCGTGCTACACCAATTGGGTAGCTGCATATTGTCAACAGAAGTGAAAGATGGCGGCCGCCATGGTTACGCTAAACCAGACCAAATGGATTCTAAACAGTGCTGTATGCTTGTTTTATGTCATGTTTTGTCATATGTCTTAATACATCACTAAGTCTGAGGTATTTGCGTTATATACGCGGTATTTGTGAGAGGTTTTACTATCTGGGAACAGAGTTGACCATCGAATCAACATTGACTAGCAGCGTTTATCAGCCAACTCCAGCTACAAACTATTTCCCCACGGGGATTAATAAAGTATATCAAACTCATATTTATCAAACTATCATTCCTGGACTGCCATGTTCACATCGCTAGGTTCATTGGGATTATTCCATTAGACTGAGGACTTTTTGTCTGTCTGTTGTTACCCTGTACACGTTAAATGCACTCTTAAAATAAACATGACTTGATTTCTGCGTCCAAGAAGAAGGTTAACTTGTTACGTTAAGTAATTTAGATCAATAAAATGCAGTACTTCCAGGCTGAAGACTTTTCTTTTTGTTGCTGCTTTTAATTGAACTATTCATATCTTAGACTGCACTGTAACTTTTATCCATGTATTTTTTCTTTTAATGTTTCTTTTATTAGCTTTTCTTTTGAATGACTGATTTTAAATGCCATTTTCTTAATGTCTTTAATTTTTTGTAAAACACTTTGAATTGCCTTGTGTTGAAAAGTGCTATATAAATAAACTTGCCTTGCCTTACTTATACCAATGTCCATTGATTCATTTATTTACTCATTCATCCCTCCACAAATGAAAACAACACTGATGAACCATAAAAACGAGATTTATTACAAATATAAAAGGTATGACATAGAAAACAGTAGAAGGACATGTAATGTAGTATAATTGATTGGTGTCAGGCTGGGCGGAGCGGCTGATTGGTGCTGTGATTGCCTCAGCTGGTTCTCAGAGTCCTGCTGATTATACTCTGTTCTAGTACCAAAAACAAACGTATCTATGAGTGATGTGTGAGCGCGTCGGCCAGGCACTAAAACCAAAAGAACAGAAAAGAGCTTAAGAAAGATGGAAAGAAGGCTCTTTTATTCCTATTCCTCACTGTCAGTGTCAGGGCAGTCATCGTTCTCTTCCTCTGTTTCTTTTTTATTTGCACAATTTGAGCAACGACATAAGTCTGTGCAACAGAGTCCTGCAGAGAAGCATGAACATCTGCCTTTCTCACAGGCAGACTCTTTGCAGCTGCAGTGTATCACATGCAACACACTGTCAGGGGCAGGATTTCTTGTCATCCAGGTGACGTGTAAGTTCCCATCCTCTATTTCCCAACCATATCCAGCAGGTGATGGAGCATTCATTTCTCTTTTGAGACAGGACCTCATTATTGCTGCCTGGTAATTTGCCCTTTTGCAGTGCTGATGGAGGGCATCATGAGTAGGGGGAATGCTTAATTCTGGCAAGGCCGATGATGCCATACAGAAAGCCTTGTACCTAGCATCATTTACATGTTCGGCTGCTGGCTGATCATACAGGTGACATACATACCGGCAAAGAAGTGCAAATGTTGATTGCTCCAAGTCAAAGTTAGTACCTAAACTTCTGAAAGCCTTAAGGTAGTCATCTTTCTCACATGCAACAGCAAATGACTTTCTTTTACCTTTGCCATAGAAAGCGCTTGTGGAGTCACACCCAGAGAACGTGTGAATTCCAATCAAGGCTGAACACACACTGGTTCCGAGAGCTGATGACACCATGGCAATGTCAATGATCCGTGTCCTGTTGCCAGTCCCTGTGAACACATATAAGCTGCATGGCAAATCTGCCTGCAGACTTACAGCAATGACTGCCACATCAGTGTCCGAGCTCTTGATGATGACAGCTTTGTGCTCCTGTGCAGCATGTTGGGCATGTAAAAACACCCGTGTGTCACATTCCTCATGATCACACTGCAGGTCTTCAACAACATCAACAGACTGTACACCCTCCATGACAGTTACACAGTGGCATTGATTTTGATGGGCAATGTACAAGCTGAGGTTTTTACCCACTGTTGTGAGGTCTGCATGTGTCCATGCCACATAAAGGAATTCGGCCAGTGCTTCCTTATTTTTTCCGTCAGAGAGAAACTTCTTCCACTGGGTTGGAGTTCTCTGATCTGGGCTGAAGATTGTTATTAGTTGTGACCCTGCATCAGCTCTACGGGACCGTTCTAGGCTTTTGATGCTGATGGGTGGATACCGGTCAGTGACAAAATCAATGCGTGTACACTTGTGATGCAAAGCAAGTTGGAGTATGCTCTGCAGTATGGTCTCTGCAAGCTCTCCAAATGTTGCTGGTCTGGATGGCATGGCCTGCATGACTGCCATGCCATCAAAAAGAATGGCACCACCTATTGGAACTTTGTCAACCAAGCACTCTCCACCTTTGCTCTGCAATAGATCCATGAGAGCTGATTTGTTTGTTTTGGCAAGTGAACCATCAGCACTTGCTAATGGATATGACACAGTTCCCAAGGAATATGACAGAATTTCCCTCATTTCAATTGTCCTGCTCTGGCCAAGGATGAGGAGCCTGGAAAATAACTTCTTGTCAGCACGCAAAATCACTTCCTTGCCTGCTGCAGATTTTTTGGGGGGCTTTTTCTGATCACTGAGAGTCTTGAGTTTTTGTGATATTATGGGGGCAAATATGTCAACTGTTTTGGATAACAGTCTCTGCTCCATAAACTCCTTTACAGCATTTTCACCCTTTTCTGAGGCAACAAGCAAATCCTTTGTGATTTCTCCTGTTGCTACTCTTCCAGAGCTAAGACACACAATGCCGTCTTGGTGTACATCAAAAGGGTTGAGCATGAAATCAATAGTGTCCAAGATTCTACTCACAGCCTTTGCATCAGCAGAGATGCGTGTCTTGTCCAGGTCTTTTCTTGTCCGTAGCTCAGGAGATATCCCTGCCATTGATTCACACTGTCTTGCTATCGCGGCTCTTTCATGCTGTGACAGTATCCAGCGATACACTGCAGACCGATTTTGTGTGATCCCTGTCCAGCCACCTTTGGTCTTGGCATCTCTGTTAAGCGTTTGCTCAATAGCCTGGTCGCAAGCAATGGAGGCAAATCCATGAACACTTTGTCGCTGGACAGTCCACTGGCCTTTCACATTCATGTCACTGTGGCAAGAGGGATGTGTGACAGGCAGATTCATCATTTCCAGCCAGTATGCAGGTAAATATCGAGCGTAATTTACTCTATCGTAGGCAAAAAACCATGGCATCATTAACCGGACGGTTGACAGGTGAAGCTGCCAGTTTGATTCTCGCGTTGCTCTCACAAACAGGAGGAGTAGCTGCATCATGTCAATGTATGAGCTCCAGAAAGCAAATGTTGCATTCTCTGTACTCCTCCTCTGCACAAAGTCTGCATATTTCGAGCACATATTATCAAACCTCTGATCTGCACTCAAAACATCCATCAATCTGTCTGGAAAGGCACATTCCATCTCAGTGATGACATCCATGCACGCAGCTCTCTCTTGGGGTGGCAAGGAGTCCATGAAGGTGATAAACCGGATGCGCTGCAGACTCTCATATAGAAGTTTATGAGCCCTCATGCTGCGATTGTAGTGATGGCCATTGAGTACCCCATTGATGGATCCTGGGGCAACAACTTCAGATTCAATGAGGATATCTTGCAGTCCTGCATCTCCGAACCTTTTGCCTAGAATACTCAGGTAGGACATGCATGTATGGAATTCACCTAGTCTAATCACTAGACGCTTTGTAAACTCAACATCATATGTTGTAGCGTATTTGCTGTGCTTTGGCATATATAGCCTGGTCAAACACTAAAACTATATGATCCAGTTCTAGCTGGTCAGCAATCTGGACACTTCGCTTCAGGATAGTGTTGACTGTTGACATCTCTGTTGGTGAGGCTTCAATGACTGGAAGATAATACAATGCGGACTTCTGCAGAGTGTTTTCATCCTGAAGCAGTGTATGGAACCCTGTCCAGCTTGGGATTGTACAACTATCCGTACATGTGGACTTCACAAAAGCATATGCCATTTCAGCTTGTACAGCAAAGTGGGTGTCCATTCTGCATGTCGCTGACTGCACTGGTTGACACAAGTTCTGTGGCCCTTGCCTTTTGGACTGATGGTAAGGTTGTATAGGCATTGGGGGGGGGGCTATGAATGAGGTAACTCCCTTTCTCAGTGGCTGTCTGATTGCTGTGGACATAGGCTCGCCGGGCACACTCTGGAGCATAATTCCATTTGTATGGTGAGTAGTTCCACGACCCGATAGTGTCTCCTCACCAAAGTCAATGTTATCCCACACAAGTGTTGTGGGTGTCCGCTTTGAGAATCCCTTCGGTATTTTGTCTCTGCCTTCTACTAGTGTCAGTTGGGCAAGGCTAGTGTCTAGACTCAAAACTGTGTCCCATGATGCACAATGTCCCAGTCTGTTAAGCAGTGATACAATGCGTGATGATCCAGTTAAATGTCGAACAGTTAAACCTAAAGCCAAGGACTTGGGTGTCTGCTTGCGGCCCTTGGAAGCAAGGTACACAATGTCTTGACAAACAGACAACACTTTCAAATGTACGTCATCATCAATGTTGACATAATGATCCAGTGTTGGCTCCTCAGTGGAACCTATAATCCAGCTGAGCAGATTGTATAGTCCAATGGGGACAACAGTTTGAGATTCAGTGACATTTACATTTTCAGAAGTGGGAGGCCATGGGCATGACATGCCAGGAGTGTCACTAAGCAGTCTTTTCAAAAACAACGCTGCTGTATACAGTGTCCTTGTGTCCTCATGTGTTGTTTGGCACTTTGTTCTCCCTGTTTCATTGTCGCTGTCTGTCTGGCTCAATTCACTGGACTGTGTTGTTTCCGTACCGGATGGATCTGGTAGCATGTCCACGAGTGCATCCTTTGACAGAGTCTCAGCAAAAACCAGTTCGCAGACGTTGCGCTTGGTGGGCATGTGAAACGCTAGCTGAGGGAAATCTTGAGCCAGCCTCTTCTTCAACAGATCCTGTCTGTAACACAACAAAACAGTGACAATTACGAGTCACAGGAGTACCATCAAAAGCAGAGTGGTGGAGGTGATACAAGACATTACAGACTAGAACCTATCTGCCATACAGCACATTTAACACCAAAGAAGCCAAATAAAGGCCCACATCATCACAAACAACACTACACACTACACATCATGGGGGTTTCTCCAAACAGGCCTGTCATACACATTTTGTTTAAAGCTGGCCTTGCACATGATAAATAATAAGACTTGTATTACATTGCAGTTACCTGTAGTTTGAAGCATCAACACCTTCGTTTGCTTTCACCATGTCAATGAAGGCCTGCCTCAGCTGGCCCATTCTAAGCACCTCATTGTTGACAAGCAGCCTCTGGCGGATGATCCTCTCACAGAACAGCTTGTAACTGGCATCAAACATTGCCTCATCCCTACAACACATGAATGAGAAGTAAATAAATGGATAAATGAATAAGTGTTGTGATTGTGTGCACATATAACAGAAGGAAATTGGATGTTTACTTATAATGTTAAGTATGTGTATGTGTATATATATATATAGTAGGGGTGTAACGGTTCACAAACATTTCGGTTCGGTACGTACCTCGGTTTTTTGGTCACGGTTCGGTTCGGTACGTTTTCGGTACAGCAGAATTTTTTTTCACAAAACAAAACATATATATATATTTTTTTATTATTATTATTAAACTGTGAATAATGTATTCACTCAAATAAATACAAAATATAATAAAATAAACATTAAGGTGCAGCATTTCGAGGAACTGAAATAATCTGTATTTGAACTTTACTGTACTAGTACTCACAAAACATAAACTATTAGTTTGGGGTTTTTAATTATTATTAAACTGTAAATATTCACTCAAATAAATACAAAATATAATAAAATGAACATTAAGGTGCAGCATTTCGATGAACTGAAATAATCTGTATTTGAACTGTACTGTACTAGCACCTAAGCAGCCAGTTTGACATTAGGACTTGCTTGTCATTGTATTTTCATGTTTTTTTAAAGAAAAATGAACTTGTCCACATTGCTTGCCGAAAGGGCAGATCTGCTGGCACTAACAATGTCTCCTGCTGTGGAGAAAACCCTCTCGCTAGGGACAGAGGTAGCAGATACAGCCAGGTAGCGCTTTGCTAACATTGCAACATAAGGATAGTTGGCGTTTGTAATAGCTTTGGCTCGGTCTGAAGAAGTGGAGGCTTAAATGCTAGCTGGAGTTGGGTTTGCACTTCAGTCTTTTTTCTTTTGGTACCGGTGATATTCACGTTCGGGTGATGCCTTTTCAAAAGAGTGTGCAAGTTTGATGTATTGCCAGCCGCGTAACCAATTTTAGTTGAACAATGCCGACAAACAGCTTTGGTTCGGTCCACCTGTCTTTGTCCGTCATCCTTGTACGTAACTGCAAAACCAAAATGTTCCCAAACCGGAGACTTCAATGATGCTGGAGGATTTTCGAGCTCAACTTTATCTACGTTCGCCATACATTTTTGACAGTTCCTCAAATTACTGACTACATTTGAACGCATCCCTCTGACCAGCTCTCATAGTATGCCTCTCATCCAATTAAATGACTTGCTCGCTCTATGACGCGTTGAACCCAATGTGAGAAAATTACTCTGAATGCTGCGACGCAGCACCTGAGATTACTTCCAAGAAGTTATTCACGTTCTCAATTTTTTACGTTTAACGTTATATTCGTTCGGTACACTTCGGTACACACCTGTACCGAACCGAAGGGCCCGTACCGAATAATTTCGGTACGGGTACGTGTACCGTTACACCCCTAATATATAGCCATCACCGACACACACCTGGACTTCAGTCTGGTGGTAGTGCAAATAGGTAAAGCAATCCAAGGAGAAATAACTTACTGTTCTGTCTCTGGTTTGTCAGGTCTCAGCAAAAACATGGTGTACTGACTGTAACAGCTTTTGTGGTACCGCACCTCCAGAGCCACACAGTCTTTGTCTTTTATATGTAAAAGAACACTTTGGTCATCTTTCTTCTCAGCAGCTTTCTGCAATTTGCCTAAACGGAAAAAAAGGACAACTCAATGAGTTTGTTGACGTATCTCTCACACATAATTGTACCTTTCAGTTATTCAACCACAGAGAATGTGTGTGTGTGTGTGTGTGTGTGTGTGTGTGTGTGTGTGTGTGTGTGTGTGTGTGTGTGTGTGTGTGTGTGTGGTGTGTGTGTAGTGTGTGTGTGGTGTGTGGGTGGGGGAGGGGGTTTGCTTACCTGCTTTTAATGTTTCAGCCTTACACAGTTGATCCGTTTGTCGCTTGCCTGCTTTGATGATCATTTTCTCCTTCATCTTGCATATAATGCACAGGGCAGGAAGGACGGGGCCAGAGCCTGCGATTGGCAGGCCTGACCTTGATCGTAGCTTCTCTGTTTGGCTTCGGTACGTGCTGCGAGACGTCGATGGGATGGGCTCGACCTCAAGGTCCTCCCTAACGTCTTGATCTCCCTCACGTGCGAGCCGTCTTTCCACCTTCGTCATGGCCTTTGTGTCGGTAAACCTTATGTAGCATGTGTGGTGGAAGCCAGCGTCCTCAGGAATATCTTCGAACTCGAAATCAAGACGGTGCTTGTGGTTTTCAGCCACCACGTTCCGAGTCTCCCTTCAAGCCGAGCGACCGTTGTAAGCTTGTCCTGTACGTATTCCATCTTGTATTGGTAAAACAATCAACCTTTTCGTGCTTCACAGACGTAATATGCATGTAACAATGTTTGTGTGTTGACAATTTTGACTTTTTGAGACTTTCTGGTGCGTTTTCCTCGTCTCCGCTACTCGATGAAACCATGGCGGCCGCCATCTTTCACTTCTGTTGACAATATGCAGCTACCCAATTGGTGTAGCACGATCACGTGATGAACCGTGGCACGACTTTGGACCAAGATATTATTACGCTTCGAAGGGAATAGTTCAGCCAATAATTACGTGCCTAGAAGAATTGGCAGGAATTTTAGCGACGAAATTTTTTTTGGTGGATAAGCATGAATCGTTCTTTTTTATGAACTAAAGATTGTGTAGTTTCACTTCTGTGGAGCGGGATTTCTTTTCTAAAGGACTTTCGAGGTTCACCTTGCGGCCTACAAGGGGTGATGAACGCCGTCATGTGTCTGGATCCTTCAGCAATGTAGCCTTGGTGGTAGGCCTTGCCTTGGTCTAAAATGCTGAACCAGCTTTGGCCTTTTAGGGTGTCGATGAGTTCCTGGATACGAGGCAATGGGTGACGGTCTGGTACTATTTTCTGGTTTAACATTCTATAATCGATGCATAACCTTAGGGACCCATCCTTTTTCCTGACGCAGACAACAGGTGCTGAGTACGGAGATTTGGACTTAACTATCCACCCTTTTACAAGCAGGTCTTGGATGTACTCTTTAACCTCTTTATAAAGGGGCTTGGGTACTGCACTGTATGTGCGCTGAACTGGGATGTTGTCCTTTAAGTTGATGGACATTTGCAGGTTGGGAATGCAACCTATGTCCCCATCATCTTTAGCAAAGGCTGCCGATTCCTCGTGTAACATCTGTTCCACCTTCATCTGTTGCTCATCACTCAGGTGGCTGACATCCACAGGTGGGTGCCACAATGCAGAAATGGGTTTGTCACTGTTAGAGTGTGGTGATGTGGAAGAACTGGCTATATTTGCCTGGGCTTGATTGTCCTTGCTGCTTTGGTTGTCTGTCTCTATCACTCTGTCAATGGTTTCGATGTTGCCTAGAACAGTACCGCTGGGCAGAGTCACAGCACTTCTGGAATGGTTTGACACAGGCACCTTTACGAAAGGTCTCTCTGTCTGTTGGATCGCCATTAGTCCTTCTCCAACACTCAGCTGTGCCAGGGGTGTAGCTTCTAGATTGGGTTCGAAAAGCACAAGTGAGTCAGATTCACTAATATCTACTGGTACCCTGCACTTAATATAAGCTACCTGGCGAGGATAAATAGTGACTTCTTTCCTGCCTATCTTTACTGCAGCATTCTGTTGTTTCTGTTTTTGCTCAGTCTTTATGAAACTCACCATAGCTTCTGCCATTGCACTGTCCATCTCCAAAGCACCCGTAAGCAAGTTGACAAGGATAGATATCACTTTGGGTCTACTTTCATGACTCCTAAAGAGTTCCTGGATGACATTAAAAAGTACTATCGGTCTGTCTATTTTTATTCGACTCACTAGGAAAGGCACTCGAATAGATAAGTCTGGATCATCGTTTCCCTGCAGGTTTACTACCACTTCAATCCATCCTTCATAAAGGTACTGCATCTCCTGTGACAGCCGTCACGTAGAGATCATCCTCCATGAGTTCACTGAGGGGTCTAATATCTTGTCCAGGTAAGTATCTGTCTTTCCAAGCATTGTCTATTATGCTCACATTGGCCCCAGAGTCTAAAAGAGCGGTTATGGCGTAACCGTTCATGCTACATCTCAATAGCGACTTTCGACCAATTAGCGGAACTATCTTTTTGATTGGGTGTTGTTCGTTATTTTTCTGCGTGTTGATAGGTGTATGACCAGTGCTTTGTCTTGCTGCTGCAACCTCCTGGGGGTGGGACTTTTCCTTTGGGTCGGTCAGTGGTCGTCCCGTTGCCCTGACCGGTGCCCGTTTCCCGCCTGCTTCTGTCTTTTCAAGCAGCCTATAGCACGATGACCCTCCTCCCCACAGAAAAAGCAGTGGCTACAGTTTGGTTGAGCCTGAGCTATGCATTGTGGGCACCCATACGGTCTCCTGGTCTTCTTCTCTGGTCTGGTTTTGTCAGAGCAACACTGGTGAGTGGTTTGATGTAGCCCCTCAGGCACCTGGGTTGTTGTTGATAGCTGTTTCAGTGTTTCCATTGCCTGTGTTAAAGCCTCAACCTGAGCACTCAATCTCTGGATGACATTATCCTTACTTTTAGTCTCTCCCACACTGCTGAGTATCTCTTCAGGTTCAGCGAGTATGCTGTGTGCTTGAGTTAACTTGCGGTTGGAACTGCGTCCCAGTCTGCGCTTTCTTTCACTTTCTTCCATCGTAGTCTTGATAACCTGCCTTAACAGAGCTTCATCAGACACAGTGGGTTCAGCAAGCAGAGGTTTCAGCTCCCGTCTGACATCCTCATGTCTCTCTCCCATGCCTTGATAGACTGCATTCAAAAACACACCCTGCAGTGTAGACGCATCATACTTAATAAGTGCATTTTCCTGCCTGGAGGTGAACATTATTTTTTGTTTCAGTCCTATCATGCGGTATAGGAATTGCTGTGGAGCTTCATTTTCATGCTGTCTAGCACACATCAATTCCTGGAAGACCTCTGTGCTGCTCTTCTCGCCAAGGTGGGACTGCAGGAAACTCTTCAGCTCGGTGACTGTAAGATCTTCCTTGTTTGTCAGCATGTCTTTAAAGTTTCCACCTTTTATTATGCGTGACACCCCTCTAATGATCTTGTCATCAGTGTGTTGCTCTCTGCAGCCTTCCTCAATCTGTTTACATAAGCTGTTAAAGCTAATGTCTGATGAAGTGTCAGTTATCTACCCTCCATGAATCTTAAACTCCCTTCTATGCAGAAATGAAAGATCTTCAAGGGAAATCATGCTCTCTCGGGTGGGATTAGAGAGTCCTTCTGTAGATGTATGTGGTGAGTTAGGTGTATGCTGCTTACTGGGTTGGCTAGAGTGAGGTTGCGGTGTGTCTGAACTAGGTGTGGTGACACTGTGTTGAAGTTTGTTTTGCACCTCCTCTAAGCCCCTTAACAGTTTCTGTATGTCTGCGTCATGAATGCCAGTCTCAGTTGGATTGTCTAATGGCTCAAGTTGTTGGTTAGCGTTAACAGTAGCAGATAACATCAGAGGTGATTTAACAGAAGTATCAATTTCACCCTCTTTGGAACACACGGTACCACTGCTACGGTTTGCAATAATCAAATCAACAGTATCTTGTAGACACAACAACATTGACATTCCCTCATCTTCTAGGTTTAGTAGAGTCATACTGTTCATATTCGCAGCAATATACTCAACACAGCCCTCCTCGTCGTCCCTGTTTAGCTCTGATGCGTCAAGTCCTTCCACTGGATCGAGGTGTGTGGCAACTTCATACGCTTCATCTGCTGTTAGCTGATGAAGTCTTTTCTTGATGGACCAGCTTAGTCTCTTCCTCTCGTTGTCAGCCATCCTGTGTGTTGTGGGCAACTGTGGCAAACAGTTCTGCACTCCTAGGCGTAGATCCCCTTCAACCTGGTCTCTCTACCTCTTGAGTCGCTAACTGGAAGCACCTTCACTCCGGCAACACGTCGTCAGTCCGGTCCTTTAGGTCCAATATCACTGGATCAGCATGTGGTCGTCTCAAACGATGCTGAACCAGGACGAGCCCCCAAGAATCTGTAACAGGCCCCGCTATGCAGGGCGCGATGACAGATAGTATTTCCTGTAAAACACGAGAAATTATGAGCAGAGAATTCCTTTTACTGCTCGTTTGGGGGATCTTGCCAGAATGTATTAACAATTGGCACAAAACACAATTGTCCTTGCCCTTTACTGCTCTCAATATAAACACATGTTCATGTCTTCAAAATATACTTGTATGCTTGAAGTATTCAAAAATAAACACATTTGTGTATAACCAAGTGTCATTAACATCATGACTCCAAATAAGCATGTACTGCTTCAAAACAGATATTGGTGCTGTATTCAAACACTGTTAATTACCTTTTCAGGCAAAGTATTAGCATTGGTCTAATATATGCTAGCATTAGCATCAAGCAACACGCATTTATAATAATTAAATTATGACTGACCATAGCACCCATAGACCATACAAAACACACCTAAAACACTTCGTAGCTATAAACAATTCACTTGCATCACTAGCGACCGCCATTACACATACACACACAGCCACCACGAGGTGGTCTTCTACACGGCATTAAACATAATAAACAACATCTAAACACCACTTCAAACTTAAGACATTGTGATTTATAACATTTGTGACAATCTGTACACAATACTGACCTGTAAAACACGAGAAATTATGAGCAGAGAATTCCTTTTACTGCTCGTTTGGCGGATCTTGCCAGAATGGCAAGCTAACGACAGCTCCGTCATCACGTCAGACATTTTACGGTAGACGCGTAAATAATAACAAATCCCTTTACGGCAGTGTTACTCTGCCATCTACTGCCCCCTGCTGTCCATTGTTAAACAGGTAATATAAAATGATTTTAAATATAAACATAAAATTGTGATCACACACTTTGTGTGGGTCACAATAGCAATATATCACACAGCCCTACTTCCTCTAGTGAGTGTGGTCAGTGAATATGAAGGTGCTGTAATGCAGGTTAAAGAGCTGCCACTGTGCAAATAATAATGCAACAAGGAGAGAACCACAACTTCCGGAACCAGGACAGGTGCTGGTAATCACGCCTTCTCTCCCTCCTGATCATCTTGCAACTGAAACTGAAAAATGGAACAGCAGACAGGGAGAGGAGGCTTTTAGTCACCTGATAGTTATGCACTATCATGTTCTTGTGGAAAAAAATGAGCACACCAACTCTTTCTTACTTTTACCTTTCCCCTTGTAAGTTGCTGTCCCAACACTTCAGGGAGAACACATAGTCTGAAGAAACTCTCAACTCTGGGAATGATGTTGTCCCACAGGTCCACATCACGCACAATTCTCTCTACAAAGAGGTCATTTTTAGTCCAGACAACAAAGTCGCAGTAGTCAACGTCAACGACGTGGAGCTGAGCCTGTACTTGATGGTAGTAGGCATGTCTCCTGTCCAGCTTCACAGTGCCCCCATCGTTGACGAGACAGAAGCCCTGTTCTCCAGCACACAGGCGAAGATTGGCCTCCTCTTGTTTGCTGTGTGGGCACTAAAAGTTCAATGAAAAGAAAAGTAATATATTGTACTGTAAATAAGTGTCTGCAGCTCAAAATGTATTGGGAGAGGATCCCCAGACTCAGGATCACGTCACAATCCTATACTTACCCGCTTTACTGTAGCACAATACTGAACAAATAACTTACCTTTATCTCACAGATACCAGTTCCATGGCAGGTGCACGTGACACATCCGTCTGGCGACGCTCCCATGTATGGCCATTGAGGGTTCAGCCAAAGCCCGCTGTCTTTACAGCTGAAACCCTGGTGGTGCAGACTTTGTACTCCTTCATACTGCTTTCGGGCAGTTACCTCGTATTTGCATCCATACCTGTAATGTATACAACAAGGAACAGAAATAGAACATTGTAAATTATAAAACGGACAAGTCAAATCAAGCAATCTGATTGGTTCTTAGCCGTGATATAATCAGCGTATACCACGGGGAGAATTGTAAGTTACTTTTCACAACAAGTCGGTATCCCTCCGCGTCTGAGAAAAACTGTATACAGTTGCGTTGAAAAGCAAACTGCCTGCAGTTTGCTTTTCAAACTGGAACAAGGAAGCAGCGGAGAAGTAACGGGGCAGAAACCCTCCTTTTTACGCAGCGGTCCAGACGCTTCGCGTCGGGCCGAACCACGCCCCTTAGCTGTGATATAATGAACAAATACCACGGCCTGTCGTGAGCTATTGCTTAATTATACCATGGTCTGGGTGAATACTCCATTCTGATTGGCTCCCTAATCCCTAATAAATACCTTGTTGCAGCTGTAGAGAACTTGTGTGCCTCTGGGTAGCATATGGACTTGATCAAGGACTTTGATGGCTGTGCAAGACTAGTCTGTAGAACCTGCTTCAGTCTTGAGGCTGTGATCCTTCCTGCTCTTTGGCTAAACCATATTGGTGATAAGCTCTGGTTTCTGGTCTCCTCCTCTACTGCCTGGACCTGTGGCTGTGTCAGCTCTTCCTGTCTGAAGTCCTGGCATGCATTCTGCAACTCTGTTGGGGATAGCTGTAGCATCTCTGGTGTCCTATACTGAGGTAGTGGTTTAGGTAGCTTGCTCACAGATTTAGGGACAAATTCTTTGTAATATGGTTCCCTGGACATCAGTGCAGCACTTCTTGGGGAATTTCAGCTCAAAGTCTTGAAAAACTGCATATACCTCTCTGATCCTCGCCCCAATTTTGAACCCTGGACTGTGGGACGCTGAAATGTGTGCTTCTCATCTGTCCTTCCAGCAATGGCATCATCCAGTTTTTGCTTTTTGGATTTTGCGGCTGAAAAGTCTATCATCGCAACTGGAGCAGCAGGAATCTGCACATGTGAGAGACAGACCAACATGTATGTGAACATACATGTAGGTGCAGTGTAACAATGAGACAGGCAAGGACGGCATGAACAGCTGACTGACCACTGGGGTCTGAATACCTTTTTGACATGTGATGGCATTAGCCACTTGCACTTCTCAGTGGTGCAGGATGCAGTCTCTCTCATCTTCACACCTGCTTCGATTGCAAACAGAACTGCTCCAACATGTGAGCAGGATTCTGACAAACTGTATAGACAGAGACATACTAGAATAACTAGATTGATCGTAAAAGCTAGTAATGGTATAACATGAATATTATAGCAGGCATTATTTTGTCTGAGCTTAAGTGTTGTGTCAAATATGCTTTGGGTTGGTATATTTATTTTATGACTTACCCAGCCATACAGTTACAGTGTGCTGTAACAACCTCTCCATCTTCTTTAGCTACAATCCACGTTTTTAATGGTGTTTCTCCAGACCTCTGAGAATGGTTGACCTACAAAATTGAAGCTCTAGTTAACAACTTGCTAGTTAGTAACATACATTTAACAACATCAAGCCATAGCTAGCTAGTATAGTTAAGTTACGTCCCCAGCTCGTTTCGGGGTAAAAGAGAAGCAACACATAACCAGATGGTCTTGGTAAAGAGGTTGTTTTTAATATTAACCTCAACATAGAGTGATATAAACAACGTGCAGGCTGTTCAAAGGCTCTGAGCTGTCTATACACAACAGTACACAAAAACGAAGGCCACAGAATATCACAGTCACGAATCAGGACACTTAAAGAGCCTGTGACACGAGTTTCCCCCATCATCCAAACCCATCAATTTGAGTAAATATTGTCCCCTTGAAAACCGTTACTAAACTGATTTTGGATATTTGTACTTTGATAACTATTAATCTGCATTTCAATGTTGACCATTTTCTGGATCTTCTCGGGGATTCTTCAAATCCCGCCAAATTATGTGTGACGTCATTGCGGGCACAGCGCTCCAGCTGCACCGTTCAGGATCCCAGCATCTGCATGTAAACGCACGATGGCGCACACAGCAGCAAGCTCAGACAGCGATGACAGTTTAATTTTGAACGTGTCTGAGAGCTCATATGAGGCTGAAGGATCGGTTTATGTTGTATCTGTTAGAAGTTTAGGAATTAGGTGCGTCAATATGGGCGATCATACGGTCATGTAGCCAGTGGTGGAATGGGACTAAAAATCATCCCGGGACTCTCGACCGGCCCACTTCGGTACCGCTAGTAAGTTGTCAACGGGGGGAGTGGGGGATGTCAGGGGCGGCGGGTGCTGTAGATAGTAAATGTAAATATGTAAATATTTGTGTCACTGCATCCTGGTAAAATACAAATATAATGCAATGTCTGTGTCTTTGACATTAGCGCTGCTAGCCACCTGTGCCCTGTACTACGAAGCCATTTCAACATACCCTGGATATGTTTGAGTAACAAACTAACTAACAACAACAAACTAACAAACGAGATCTCGCTAAGCGGTCCTACGACGCTGGTTATCAACTCGGTAAATCAAGCCAGGGTTTCTCTCACCAGCTGAGAGCACGTTCACGTCTAAGACACGAGTGGATCCGACTTTAATTACATTTGACTTGAGTGTTTCGTCAACATAATGTGTTGCTTAAAATAATACTTCTGCATACAGTATGTGACACTGTAAGTGTTGCACGGCCAGATACGGCTGGAGAAGCTGACTCAGATAAGGAAATATATGATATATTATGATATTATATATGATCGATGATCTGATTGATGATGTAATATGAATGATAAGTGCGACACGTCGGCGTCTTCTCTGCATACGGCAGTTTAAACTCTATTTCCTTTATCCTGTAATATGACTTGAGAGATTTAAACTCCGCACACTGAGTTGATCTTTTTTCTATAGACGCCGGAGGCGTCAAAAAAGTTATTTAGCCTTCCCAAACCTGAGCCTCACGCGCCGCCTATGGGGGATGTGCAGTGACTTATCCGACCGGCCCACTTCGGTACCGGCCCATCGGGATTCGTCCCGATGGCCAGTCCGCCACTGCACCCAGCCCACGTAAACTGTCAACGGTGGGAGCCTCGCTGCGGGGAAACGGTGGACCTAGTGTCCCGATCGGAGTGGGAATAATAATAATAATAATCCGTGCATTTTATCCATTAATTTCCCCAACATTGTGGTGAAAAAAACACACGTTTAATCCATGTTGGTGTACTACAACTACAAAAAGCATCGGTTTGTTTTCTCATCAGGAAATGCAGACCGGCACAAACAAGCGATTTGTAATCATCATTCTCACGATCATTTAATGTATCATATGTTCGCCGAATTGACATGAAAGCACTAATAAATGTAGTTTTCATCCACTTGAGTTTACAACTACAAAAATAATCGATTTGTTTTTATATCACATCCTACGGGAGGAAATTCAGTAGCTCTCACTACCGATTTGTAATCCTAATGTAATCATCATCTTCACCACGATCATTTATGTTTATGTTCGCCGAATTGACATGAAAGCACTGACAAATATGAATATATTGTAGTCAACTTCATTAAAACGTTATTAACGTGCCTAAACTCAGTAATTCACCATTTCTACGCATGACAACACACTTTGTCCGTGTTTGGCTCTCTCGCCGCACAGTGAAGCGTTCCCGCATTGACGTCACTTCCGGCTTCCCCCAAAACTTCAAAATGAGTCGAAGGAATTTCCCCGCGATGTTCAAAATTATTGATATTTAACGGAACGCTATCGCTTTTTCTTTTTTAAACTGACGGTTCGAGATTACTAGTAGCCCAATATTTCATTGCACAACAGTTGTTGGGATGCTGTCACAGGCTCTTTAACCAGTTAAGCCCTGAGCCTGTTTTTCAGGTTTCAGGCTCGAAAATGCCACTAACATAACAAATGATATATCTTCACTTCTAAAAGGGGTAAATTAATAATAATTTTTCTCAAAGCAAGGTTACATCTGTGAGTTGGATGTAGACGTGTCAGAATCAATATAGATGTTTTTATTTTAAAGTAAATTCAGATGGAACATACAGTAAAAACATGTAAATTCTAATGTCCACCTAAAAAAAACCTTTACTTATAGTGAAAACTAACCTTGCATGATGGGTTAGTAGACTAAAAGCGTTAGGAATCCAAACTATAACATATAATAAGTACCCTGTATCAAGATTGATGCAAAACAAGTGAAATTGACCTTTTTAGAGAGATTTAGAAAAATAAAGTCCAAGCGGACTCACCTCTGGGTAATTTGGGAACCATCGGTTCCATTTGAACTTTTTCACTGTAAAAATCATTTTATTACTTTGAATTATCACTATAGGTATTCATTCCATCCAAATACAACTGTTGTGAAAAAAATAAAATAAAACATAGTTTTCTCTGTTATCCTCTGAATTATCCTCTGTTATCCTCTGAATTAGCCCCGAGCGAAAAATGCTAACCTATTACTGCACCGAAAATCACTCCTCGCTCCCTTATTACTTATCCTAGCTGCACATCCACATTGTTTATGATCAAGGAGACACAGAATCTAACGGTGCCCACCTCAACACTGAAAGATACAAACTCGCGACGTTATCAACAAAAACGTACATCAAAACAAGTGGTACTAACATACGCTAGGCTAACAATGACTTACCTTGATTGATTGATTGAAAAGTGTATTAACAGCTTGTATATTGGGTAAAGTACAGTACAGCTCAAAACATACAATTGTTAAGGGGATGCAGACCAGAGAAAGACTTTCGTCTTGTTTACATCAGGGTCCCCCATTTCCAATTCATCATATCATTTAAGACATATAAGACATATTTGACATACAGATGGCTTATTTACAATTTACATACAGGTGGTTTTTTTTACATACAGATTGCTTGTTTACAATTTTCATTTTAGATTTCGTTCTAATACATCCTAACCGGACATTTAAGACATACCAAGTCTACAGATATACAGTTAGTAACAGAGTCTAAAATGCGAGTATATACATAGATGGGGGGGGGGAAGCTGTCCATTGAACGACAGGTTGAGATTTGTACCATTACCGGGGCCAGTTTTGCAATGCTCTCCCCCGAAGGTGATCTTTAAGAGAGGTTTTGAAGGTAAGTATAGTTTTACTTTCCTTTACAGTTGTGGGAAGAGCGTTCCACCTTGATGTGGCATAATTGCGAAACGTGTATTCCCCCTTTTTTGTGCCAAATCTGGGTTTCACATGATTTGTGGAGCTCCCTCTGGTGTTATGATCATGGTATTCCTTGACCTTTGGGAAGAATTTTGACATGTACATGGGTACCATAGAGGTGTAGTGGATCTTGTAGACCAGGCCCATTGCAAGTAGCTGTACTCTGTCGTCTAGTCTAAGCCATCCTAGGTTGTCAAAGTGGGCAGAGGTGAGGTGGGTTCTAGATGAAAGGTCAAGCAGTAGTCTGACCAGTTTATTTTGCGATGTTTGAAGTTTTATTTTTAGCGCCTTGGAGGTGCTATGGTACCATGACGTGCAAGCATAGTCATAGTACCCTTGAATGAGTGCTCCTGCCAGAGTTTTCAGGGTGTTTTTGTTTACCAGAGAGGAGATCCGGTATAGGAATCTAGTTCTTTGATTGACTTTTTTTATTACATTGGATGCCAATGTGGAGTCTCCTCTTTGTCTGGTCTAAACTGGTCTTCAATGGCATTAAAACGATAAAAACGATGATGTAGTTAATCCATAGGTTAATATCCAATGTGGCTGTGTCCCCTTTGAAATGTTCTGATAATCTATAAGCAATACAACTGCAATTCCGTTATCTGCTGTCCGCTCTGTGCTCCGTGTGCTCTGGGTCCTGCTGCATTTCCTGCTTCGTTACGTTGTAAACAATAAATGAAGTCGGCTGCGTAATGTTGTTACGCTGGCTGGCATTCTTTATACTTTACGCAGGACCATATCTCTGGAACCCATTGGTCGATTCGTGTGATTTACACCTTTCTCTTAACCATCAGAACCAATAGAATCGATGGGCAGTTCCCAAATATACGTAAACATTACCATAGCGGACGTAATAGAGAAGCAAACGAAGCATATCTGAAAGTGCAAGCCTGGACGGCAATACTTTATACCGAGTATATTGCCATAAATATGATGATTGATTATCAGTAAACAATTATACGTGACACAAAGACATTGGATTAACCTTGAGATGCGTTTTTTATTCCGTTGAACACAACTTTTGATCACAAATCAAAAAAGGTAAGACGTAATTATTGTAATATTTTTGAAACCGGATGTTGTTTACTTTCTCTTTTCTGGCTGATAGCTCCAGGAATTCGAGGTCTTACAGTGATGACATTACATGTGTGGAATCTGTGGAGTCTCAGCTTTAAATCGTATATCTTGTTTGTGCAGTTAAGATAGTAATAAGGGCATTTCTACCGTGTGTTGTGTGTAAAAAAGCGTTAGCATTAGTTAGCATT